CAACAGAATCACTTCAGTTCCAGCGCTCGTCAGTGTAGTTCTATTTTCCTGGTAAAACTTTGCAAGTATTATTTGTGAGTCTCATAATAGGAAGTGTAGAATAAAGTTGTAGTGCAAAATTAAAAGTGCGTGGTCTTAGATCTCTTTCATTACAATGGAAACAATATGCGGTAGCTCGACTGAACCCTTGTCAAATGGGGACAGTGGTGCTGCCTCACCATAAAAACAACCACTAGGTTTTCCGCTCCAACAATCATGTAGTTGTGTCCTTCACATTGCGCCGGTGTGTAATTGTGACGGGGACACACTGCAGTATGGTCAAACTGTAATTACTCTATGCTGAATGTATAGAGCGTTACGCTGTCCTATTATTGATAACAATAAATTGCGCAAGCAAGAGAGCAAGTTGAACATCAGCTCTCAAATTTTTACCATTTTTAATAATTAACACTATCCTGTTATTTCCCACACAATTTTGGTTTATCGTGTTACACACTATTTCCGACAATATATATATATATATATATATATATATATATATATATATATATATATATATATATATTGTCATGCTTAATTTAGTTTGGGATGTGTTAAATGTATACGTATATATATGTAATTTCTTTATTTATTTAATACTACACTTGCGACGTTGTTTAAGTGTACAAGCGATGGGACTCGCTTTGAGTAGGATGGCCGAACTATTAGGTTACTATTATTGCGTAACTATTATTGTTACATTAATGTTAGGTTAATAACTATTGTATTATTGTTTATAGCAGAATTACTCGATTTAACTCTATATTATAGTTCCTATTAGTTGTTATCGTGAATGATTACGGATAATAGATAGAGTAATATAATTTAACCGGAAGAATAATGTTTTGATTTCTGTAAAAGAGTGGGGCGGAAATGATGCCGCCCCACCCTGCTAACGAGTGCGCAAGGTTGATTAGTAAATGGAGAGTGGCATTAGCTCAACTCGAGTCGTCGCAGTAAGACGTGCAGTTAAGTTGAATTGTGTATAAGTTTAAATTGTGTACCAAAGTGTAAAGTGAACCAAAGTGTAAAGCCGGCCTCATACAGCCGGAATGGCTCTCTGAATTCATAATCTAAATTCCGGTACCTTGCCTCACATATATCTTAAAAATTCAGATTGATCAGTAGTCTCATGATTCCCGGCACGTGCAAACGTGGACATCATGGTAGAGGAATTAACACTAATCGCGTTGCTTTTGGCTCTACATTATAAAAAAAAGAAACGCAAACGCGAATACTGGAACTTTAAATACGAACAGAGTAAAGGAGAGTCAATATTATATTACGGCGAAAAAATTACGACAGTATCCTGACAGATTCTTCGATTACTACAGAATGTCAGTAGCATCATTTGATGAATTACTATGTTTGCTGGATAATAAAATCCGAAAGAAAGACACACACACGAGAAGAGCCATTTCCGCTGAAGAAAGACTCACAATTACTTTAAGGTAAGATTATTTTAATTACTCATTTTATAAAAGCAAAACAAAAATTAAAGTAGGTGGGATAATTTTAATCAATAAGTGGTGTTAGTTTGTTTATTATATTCATTTAAAAGTCATATAATTATTCAGCAGGCTTTTACATTCTTCGTCATACGTGACGATGCCTTCAGTTTGTGAAGTGGAACCAGTGGGTTGATAATCACCATCGGACTGTCCACCGCTTGAAATTGTTTGGAATGAATTTATGACTACCCGTGGGGTAGGATCATCGTTGTAGACAGCTTGTGGTCGAGGAGAAGGCCCAGGAATGGTGATTATAGTCGACGGGGTTATATTGGGTGACCCTGTATATTGAGCTGAGCTGCACCGCGAAACTTGTCGGTAGATTGGCATTGGACTATAGCTACTTTGATGGCTCGGGGTGCTTGAATCAATATATGGTGAAGAATTATTTGAATTTTCTTTGAATATATTTTTAAGTAGCTGCATCATGCCTAACTCAAAGTCAATTTTTTGCAGGTGTGTCATTTTTTTCATGTCACCTGAAAAACTCAAAAGGTATTTTTCATCATCGTCATAATCCTTAGTTGCAGTATTTTTTTAGTCTTCAATATATTTAATATTTCTGTTAGCACATCTTGTGAGTTTTTCTTTTTTGGTTCAGATTCTTCATTGGTATTATTTTTCTTAAGTATATTTTCAGTTTCAACTTCTAGCGCTCTTCGTGTTCTAACATCCCTTTGTACCTCATGTTCATCTTCTGCATCTCTTACAGATTGCTCAGCAGTGTCATCTTCTTCATAATTTCCTGCGTAGTTTCTTCTTGAAACTATTTTATCCAAAAATTCTAAAATGTCTGCGTAAACATATTTTTTCCCTTTTTTTGCAGCGGATCCTGTAGGAATACTCTTTGATTTTTGTTTATCTTTCTTGTAATAATCTCGACAGTTAGTCCATTTTCTTTTGAGTCCTAGACCTGTCGGTAAAATATAAGTAATTAGCAATCAATGTTATTTTTTTCTTTCAGATACCTCTCTACTGGCGACAACTTTGAAGATTTGAAGTATGATTTCCTAATGGGAAGTACTACAATCTCCGGTATTGTTTCGGATACTTGTTTGATTATATAGGAGCTATTACAACCAATGGAGATAAAGCCACCATAATCACAAGAGCGCTGGCTTATAATATCCGACAACTTCTATAGGAAAACTAATTTCCCTAATTGCTTGGGTGCTGTAGACGGCAAACACATAAGACTGATTGCACCACATTTCAGTGGCTCAAATTACTACAATTATAAGAACTACAATTCTATTGTATTGATGGCCATCGTTGACGCGAACTATCGTTTTATAGCGGTGGATATTGGTTCATACGGTAGAGAAGGAGACAGCAGTATTTTTAAACACTGGAATTTCGGAAAAAGACTCTCTAAGTATCGCCTTAATTTGCCAGCCCCAAAAGCTTTAACAAACACTACAATGATGACCCCCATGTTTTTCTTGGAGATGAAGCTTTTCCCTTAAATTCCGATTTTCTAAGACCATATCCAAGGAACAACTTAAACAACACTCGCAGAGTTTTTAATTATAGACACGGTCGAGCGCGCAGGATATTAGAATGTGCTTTTGGAATTCTAAGTAACAAATGGAGAATCTTTCATACAAATATGACAATACCGCCAGATTTTGCTGTAAAAGTAACAAAAGTGGCATGTGTGTTACACAATTTTGTTTGCCAAAGAGATGGGTACAAATTTGAAGATACCTTAACACTTTGTCTTGATGACCTGCCATATAAAACATCACATTACAGAGCATCTAATACGGGTAGACACGTAAGGGATAAGTTTTCACAATACTTTATGATGCCATGTGGCGAAATATCATGGCAATACAATAACCGAATGATCAGTGGTGATGACTAAACTTTTACTATGTCTGTAGGTACTTACTTTTATATTTTTTTTTCGTCTTTACTTAATGTTTCCCAATTTGGAATTAAAAATTTTAAAATTTCCAACCACGCTATGTATTTTTTTTCCTGTCATGATAGTCTTCAATGGAAGTGTCCCATATACAAGGGTGGCTTTCGACGCACAAAATCAAATTTTTGTATCAGACATCACGTCATGTCGCAACGCGTCCAGATGTTATCGCTTGCAGTGGCGACTGAAGTAATTCATAATCTGATTCCAGTGTACAGTGTGCCACGTATAATATTATTGATAACTGGTTGAAATCCGTATTTTATTATTTTTCCGTTTTTTACTAATATTTTATGTTGTTTGGTGCTGGACGATGGTATTGCTGAGAGGCTGTGCTGTGTTACGTTGAGATGGGTAAGGTAGCTGTTATTTTGCATAATTTGGTGTCATCATGTAATTGTGTCCTTCACATTGCACTGGTGTGTAATAGTGATGGGGACATACTGCGGTATGGTCAAACTGTAATTACTCTATGCTGAATGTATAGTGCGTTACGCTGTCCTATTATTGATAATGATAAATTGCGCAAGCAAGAGAGCAAGTTGAACATCAGCACACTTTTACCATTTTTAATAATTAACGCTATCCTGTTATTTCCAACACAAATTGGCTTATCGCGTTGTACTTACCGACAAATACATTTAGCAGGTACGATAATCTGAAGCGCTTGCTAAATTAGGGATAATTTTAGAATTAAGTTTTAGTTACGATTAATAAGTGCTTAATCTACTAATACTATACTAATACTAAATAAAAGGTATAAGAATCTTTAATTTTTTACTATTTCCGTTTTCTAATGTATTATAAGTATATTGTAATAAATGTATTAAAATAGCCTAAAAATGTTTATTTTGATGTTAAAAATGTATTTCATATTTTTGATGTGTTTAAGTAAGGATTTTAGTGCCTTTAACTTATTACTAATAATATGTTAAACCGTTTTGGATCACGTGTTTTCTGAAATATATTTATACTGCAAATTAATTGTTGAAAACTGTGAAAATTGTTTTCAAAATGATTTTATGATTTTATTTAATTGTTAATAATTTTTATAATTTTATTTTTAATGTTTAGACGTGTTAAGAATTATTCAATTGTAAAAAAGTAAAAGCGACATTTGGCGGTAATCTTATAAATACTACGAATTCAAAGAAATTCGAGACAGTACTTGGTTATTCTTCGTATTAGCAAGTTAAGTATATTTCTACTATGTCTTATTTAATTGTACTTCTGCTTATTTTTGCTTATTGTATCTTTTGTTTAAATATTGTTTAAATACGTGTGAAGATATTATTCTTTAAATATATTATTTTACATTGGCTATATTCTTTTCCTAATTTGTCCCTTGAGGAAGATTTTAAGTTCCTTTTAGCTTAATAGGAGAATATAAGTTTATTTCTGAACCGATCTTTTTCCTAGCTGATTTCTTTGGTTAATTTCCCATGGAATTATCACCAGAAGTGGGATCATCCATTTTTTGTTAACAGTTTTATTTTAAATATTTCAGGACAAACTATTTCAATATGGACGTGGAGATGCTGAAAGGGCTGTTAGAAACCATCCAAAATGTAATAGTTTCAAATAAGCGGCACGACGACGTAGCGGTGCCAATTTTCGACCCGGACAAAAGCAACGATGGAGCAGCTGTCTGGTGCGAAAGCTTCGATAAGTTGGGAGACGAGTTAAAATGGAGCAGCTTTGAGAAGGTTGCAAAAGCCGGTAAGGCCCTTCGGGGCTCTGCATTATCCTGGTTTGACCCGTGGGAGGCTGAGACCATTAAAATGTACTAAAATATGTTATAGCTTGTTTGCGGTAGAATTATAAATGTAAATGTAAAAATGACCAGCTTGAATAGTTCTGTACTTTCGATGGCCGACTTCATTTCTTTACTTTCAACTTACACAAAATTGCCAAAAAAAGGCCATTTGGCCAGTGGTACGCTTTGTTTATAAAGTCTCGAAATTATAAATTGCATTTTTACATTAAAATCTGCAAAAAAACATCATTATTATCCTCTGTTTTAAAAGTGAATTTTTCTTAATATTCTACGAGACTTACGCTGTCTCGACCCGGGAAGGACCACGGTTTCACAGAATATCAGCGTGCAATATATATGCTGGTGTGTTGTATGGTGAGTGTGGAACACCGGAGATTATTTTTACTGGTACCTAACGAGATTATTCTAACTTAGTCCTCAGGGGTGAAAACGCATCAACACCTTGATTTTTAATTAAGGTTAGATGTAGGTGTTTACAGGCCACATCATCTACTTAATTGCAGCTGGATAAAGTGGTGAACTTGTTTGTCTCCCCTATACTATAAAAATGCTACCATACGTTGTTTTACTAAAATAATTAAGATTTGTATCAAACCCAATTAAAACCTAAACTATGGCCCCTTGATCGTTAAACGAGTCGGTAATTAAATGAAGAATGCTTAACGACCGCTAAAACTTGAGAATATACCCAGTATATTTAAATTATTACATACGATTATAATAAATCAGTAAAGACAGTCGTCTGCACATTAATTTTTGATAAATTGTGTTGTGGGATGAAGGAACTTACGGAACGAAATAGTGTAATCGTTTCTGCCTCCCCACTGCCAAATTACTCGATAGTTGTAATCATAATGACATTTCCTCTAAATAAGAAAAGTTAATGTTAAAGTAAATTTACAGCCTATATACGTCCCACTGCCGGGCACAGACCTCCCTTCATTTCTGAAAGGGTTTTAAGCCAAGTTTCCGTAGTTTAGGAAGTGTCCACCGCGCTGCACCAATGCGTGTTGGCGAATTTCACATGTCTTCGAAATATTTTTTTGTCTTATTTCTCAGACATGCAGGTTTCCTCACGATGTTTTCCGTCACCGCCGAGCACGTGGTAAATCAGCACTTAAAATTGCAATTAACAATTTCACTGATGCCGGCGGGGATCGAACTCAGGTTACTCGCGTTCTGTTATATTTACAACGAGCGTTAACCATCTGAGCTACCACAGCTCTTATAATATGAAAAGTAATTTTACCATTACTACGAAAAGGATAAAGTTCTAATGTGAACTGTTAAAGGAACAAATTTCTTCCCAGGACGGAGGATTTTTCCAAAGCAGTGGCAAACGTATTTTATAATATCAATTTATATATATTCTATACCATTCCATTCTATTCAGATGTGTACCTTTGCTGATCATTCCCTCGTCTTTGACTTTAGGCCACGGCAACCGTTTCCGAATAATTTGAAGTTATCAACTAATCAAGAGATACATATAGTATGTAAACGAAGATACCAAAGTATGAGAGACGCAGTCTTATTTACTCCCATAACCGTTACCATTACCGCTACAGTCTATCAAAAGTCCACTGCTGAAGATAGGCCTCCTCCGAAGTGTTTCTCTTAGGGTGAACTTTGCCATAGTTGCCACGTTTGCAGGCGGGTTGACAACCGCAGTTTTTATAATTTTGGGTTGTTACCAGAAGGATGTTGTGCTGCGGCCCACGTCCTGTTTCTATTTCCCTCTGTCACCTTTTATGACACTCACGGTACTTCATCTACGAATTGTCTTATTTGTTCTTAATTTACACGCTTTCGCATAACTAGTAAGAAGTATACAAACTAAAGAATGCTGAGTACATATTAAAGTTAAATTCAGTTTTATAAAAAGCGAATTTCATAAATTAACTCCGATCTTGATATCGCTTTTGTAAAGAAAATTACTTAGACCCTTATAAAGATGTTACATGAAAACTTTGTCTCAAATAATCAATCTCTCCTGTGCATGGAACAACTTTCACTCCACATCTAAGTATTACATCAAATGACTTTTCGTATCACAAAGCAAATTACAAAATCATATTTCTGTTTGTATTTTGAGACCGTGAATAATTTTGGGATTATTTATGACGAACATGATACGCATACGATAACATGATACGGAGCGAGGAAAGTCGCTCAGGAGTTTTGCTTCTTTGTAAGTGTACACAGTAAAGAATCTTAGTAAATATATGATGGATATATCGTATGAGAAAACTGGCTCAGTAAAGTTTTTGTTCAGGGTTTTTTTAACATTTGTTTAAGGGATATTAAAAGCGACTTTATAATTGACATCAAAAAGTCGGGTAATAAGGTCAAATTTTGCCTGTATAGTTACCTAATCAGAGATAACTATAATTTGTATTCGGATGTTATCAGATAGATGCTGCTGCCATCTACTGGTTTAGTTTGCTTCTGTTACCTCTCACGACACACACTATTGTAAAGAATCACACACAAATAAATAACTGTAATAACTTTAATATGATTATTATGTTACACTCTTATATTTTAGTTATTTTTTATTAAGAATTGAAACCATTTGCGTTTAAACATACAGAATTACATTTTTTCCTTGGAGTTCATAATGCATATATAGTCATATAAAATTAGGTTTTCCTGTACATTGTTGTTTGTATAGTAAGGAAATATAAATTTCACTATTTTTATCGAAAGAGTTTACTGTGTAGTGGCGGTGTAAGAATACCCACTACCCCATATCGTACCGTGGGTGTCGTAAGAGGCGACAGAGGAAAATTGAAGCAGATGTTGGGCAGCAGCATCTTCTTGATAATAACACAAAATAATAAAAAACAGCTGCTGCCAACCCACTTGCCAAGCTTGGCAATTATGGCAAGATCCTTGATCGTAGACTAGGGGGGAGGCTTATGTTCAATAGTGGACTTTTATGTGCTCTAATGGAATGTATCTAAAATGTATAATAATATAATGTAACACAGTGTCATCGCTAATTAGATACTTAAGCGCCCCAAATCACAATGCTTGCTTAGTTTTCGGTGCGCGTCACTGGTGCGCAGAGTGCGGGCCAGCTCCAATATTATTCTGAAAATGATAGGAGACAGACTAGACTGTCCTATGCTCCGGCATTGCTGCGATAAACATGTCCCAGTAATTATAGGAGTGAGAAGGTACTAAATAATAATTATGTGTTAGTTACTATTGTTTATATGTTAGTTATTATATTTTAATGACATATTATCATTTATTATCAAATAATTAATAATGTCTTTAAATCAACCAATTTTAATGATATGGATCTTATGTTATCTGAAATAAATTAATAAATTAAAAAACAAAAAAAATTAAATTTAAACATACACGGTAATGTATATAGAACATACAAACCACAATTCCCCTAACGCTGTTCAACAGAGTAGAGTAGCCTTTGGTTATAACTAACACTATAAGCTTAATATATTACATTAATTAAGGTTGTTAGCAGGCCAAGAGATATATTTCAGAGAGATTAGGTCTCATAAACTAACAACCTGGCTCCTGATGCTATTTCTATCTACTAACGAGAATCTTTAAATAAAATCAACACAAAATGTATGTTGAGTGTTACTATAGTGCAGAATATCTAAATAACAATAAAATTACTTTTTAATACTAGCTGACCAGGCAAACGTTAAATACGTTCCACTTTTCGGTGAGTAAGACTATACTATAGTATGTATAGGTTTAACTTTGAATCCACTCCGGGATATCTACAATGTACAAACATAAAAATTCACTATCACTGTACTACCTATTGCTTTCAGATTTTGTTCTTTTTGCCACTCAACCAAAATTATTTGCGATTTTGGTCCATAAGTATAGAATTTATTAAAAACTTGACTACAGAAATACCCATCAATATCGTGACTACAGTGTACTTCCGTACTTCCCTACCCAGTAATACGAACGTAGAGTATAATCTACAACAAAACCGGTCTAGACAAACCTCGAAAGCCACACTAATCAATCAAAACTAACAATAAAATTACTATACCAAATCAGTAGGCCACAGCGGTTTTTGAGAAATATCACTGATATTCCTATCTTGACTACAGAACCATTGAATAACTCTTCAACTGTCGCCGAGTCAGTACTCAAACAGAATATATAAAAGAATTGAGATTTATAAAAGTATTGCCACAAAATTAAGTTAAATATTTCTAAACCCTTCATGTAAAGAAACCCGCAGATTAATGGGGGATCGCTGTTACATTTATAGCGTCCATTGCGCCTCAACTTGCTATTATTTTTAATACTAGTATCGAATCTGGTGTGTATCCTTCTTTTCAAAACTTTTGACTGTGTTCATCATGAGACATTTATTAGGAAACTACATCAATACGGTCTCAAAACTGATGAGCTTAGACTTATTATTTCATATTTAAGTAACATAACAGTTAAACAGTTATCAATGGTAAAAGTTTCTCCGGATCGTTAGTATCAATGGGTGCTCCTCGTGGCTCCATCCTTGGCACATTACTGTTCTCAATCTATTTTAATCACATACCTCACCTTGTAGGGGAGAATCCAGGTATAGTGTTAAGTACTGATAATACTTCTTTAATTTTCAAACTCAAACGCCATTCAATTAATTATGACTATACAAATAATGCATTTTTCGAAATAAGTACATTGGTTTAACACAAACAATTTATTTTAAAACGGCAACAAATCGAAATGTATAAATTCACAATACCTAATATTAAACATTCAAATATCAAGATCTTATAAAAAAAGAAAGCCAATGAAGCCCCCATAAATCTTAATTTGCTGAAGACTCTGTTCAGCAGCATATGCTGTGAGAAAAATGAAAAGTCTCACCAATGTAGAAATTTACTTTTTTCATAGCGTAATGTCTTATAGAATTTTACTATGGGGCAACACGTTTAAACATTTAAACTGTTTACTGATATAGAAACAAATTTGTTTTGCAAAAGAGTGCCCTATGGGTAATTTATAAAT